TCGGTCTAGACCGAACTCCTTATAACATTATTTACAGAGACCCAACAGTTCCCACCATGAGCAAGCACTTGGCGATGGCGGCAAGGAAAAACTCGGACAGACCCCGGCTCTAGATTTCCCATGATGCTCTTGGCTGAGCGGCTGCCTGTGGAGGCTTAATGCTGGAGGATTTGGCGTCACCGTTGACCTTTTTAACTTTGGTTAAACCACAACTGGTCTACTGCCTCGACCAGTTAGGGTGAGAGAGACAGACAGAGAGAAAAACAGAGAAACAGAGAGAGAGACAGAGAGAGAGAGAAAGAGAGAGATGATGTACTGTATGACAAAGTATTTAGCTTTTACTTTCATCCTTATAAATAACTACAATGACATATAACCTTTACCAGGCAGGGAGGGTCTAAAGAACACTATCGAGTTATGTTAAAATGGAAAAAGACGTGGAGTGTGGGTGGAGCTGAGGCGGGCTGAATGAAGCTGAAACCAGCCACCTGTGATGCCACCTGCCATGCTCTTAATTATGCATAACTTTAAGCCTTAATATAATTTTAACAGGTGAGTTATATAAGAAATAACCCCCCATACAGTTGTCATGAACAGACCAAAACTGCTAAATGTTTGGGCTGTGTTGCATAAGACAGCTAGTAGTTTTATGGCATTTCACTGTAACACATTTTCTGTAAGAAATTTGTATTGTTCATTGTATTATTTAATGTTTTGCATAATTTCTTTGGTTATTTTGTATGTGGACCACTTTTGGAGGACTTGAAAGAATAAATAAGTATATAAGTTCCATATAAGTATGGAAGCTTTAAATTACATTTGGCCAAGAAAGATATATAGATAGAAAGATAAAATTGTTGTGTCATTCGCAGGTTGTCAAATATAGATGCTAGATATGAGTCTTAGCAGTCAACTGTCTTCAAGCCACCATCCCAAAGCATCTATTTTTCTCGGCTCTGATTGGTTGTTTTCGTTCAAACCTGGTGGATTCTTCCAAATCTCATTAGGAGCACCAGAAGGAGCCAGAGGAACTGTCTCATGTACTAGTCAGGATATACTGAAAGTTTCAGAGTTATTTTTATAAAAGTTACCTACTGCAGCTTTCATTCATCGTTTAAACACTGAACAGGGACATTAAAATAGGAAATAGTAATTTAAAATGTAATCTATTTATACATTGATTATAATAAAATGCTGTAAAAGTCTGATGGCATGGCACCCTCCAGGTTTCATAACACACGTGTAGGGACTGCGGCATCAGAACTACTACATGCAGGAAATAAGTTGTAATTTGTTTGCCCTCTGGTGGTAATTATCAGCACATTTCAGCAAGCTACTGTACATGGCACGCTCTTATCTCGCGTGATTTAATATGCGCGCCTACTGTTAGAAAGACAAGTCCTCTTTGCATTGCTGGCAGCATATGACATTTTGGCTCCACTGCACACTACACAAAATAAACCGCCATCAATGATCTGCTGCCGCCACTGTACACACATAACCGAACCACAGAGAAAGCCAGACATGAGCAAAGTGGCCGCAGTCACATATTTCCACCGTTCCACATTGTGCGCGACACCGGAAGCTAGTGTACCTGGGAATACCTTGCATCAGTGCCCGCAGCTCTGCCTTACAGGCAAATTACTTCAAATGAAGAGACAACATGCCAAAGTCTGTGTTGCAGATACATATGCGAGGAATGTAGTAATGATACTTTGTTTACTTTTGTGAACGTGTTCATTTCATGCCTTTGTTTTCGGGGAAGAGTTAGAAAATATTCCTACGGCGCCTCCTGTAAGACAGAGCTGGGGGTGCAAAAGAGAAATGGGCAGGGATAGCGTTTCTATCATCTTTTGGTTTTCATGCTGGCAGAACCTGCCACCCTTCTATCCTACTACCTAAAAGCTCCCTGCTTGGGAAATGAATAGAAGACTATTAGAAACATGATGTAGCTAATCCACAATTAACATAAGCAGATACTGTTATCATGGTGGCCAGCTAACGTTAGCTACGAAGCTAGGTTACTTGGACAATCCTTTCAACTTGCTTGCTGACAGGTTAGCTTACGACAGCTAACTTCGCTATGTGAACTAACTAAGCCAGGATAAAGAAACTCCCTGCAACTCTCTGGTTGGTGGACATTTTGAGTTTATGTCTTAAATGTAATTTTATTTATTAGCAGCAGATGCTGTTCGTTGCTTGTGTGGATGTTACCAGTCGTAGCCAACATGCTATTAAATTGTAGTAGTGTTACTCAGCTAACGTTTGCTACAAAAGTTGCTAACTAGCCAGGTAGCTCACTGGGACTGAATGCACAGGCAGATACAATTCTCGTAAAAGTAATTAACTTCATATTAGTAATTCCAGTAAATGAAGTGTATCAGGTAAATACATAGGTTACCTAACAGGCCAATATTGTGTTTTTTAGCCAAGGCATAGCTAGGTAAGCTAGACGTTAAAGCCATCAGCTGTTAATTCATCAACAGTGTGTCAAATACAGATGCATGCTGTAGTTTATAATGCTGGTTCGTATATATGAACCGGCATCATGTTATATATATATATATAT